CACAGGCTCCGGACGCGCAGGCTCAGCGGCCATGGCTCACGGGCCCAGCCGCTCCGTGGCATGTGGGATCCTCCTGGACTGGGACACGAACCTGTGTTCCCTGCATTGGCAGGCGGACTCCCAACCACCGCGCCACCAGGGAAGCCCCTGGATATTTTTAAAGAGAGTTTAAAAATAGCTTTGTTAATCAGGAATCTACTCAATTACATACCCATATTTATAATAAGATTTATTTCCAATATAAATAATCAGATAACTAATAGCTTTTCTGTGAACACTCCAGATTTCTAAATTAATGTTGCATTTGTTTAATGAAGAGTTAAGGAGTAGTTGAAATATTAAACTGATTTTTCTGAGTTGAAGGCTTCAGTATTGTTGATGGTCTAAGCAGTGTCTATTCTCCTTTCCTCTTTCCTAAGAGAGTTCCCATTTTGCTCAGGCCAGGTGACTTCCATCTAATTAGTCTAAGCCCTGGCACCACCTTCTTCTGCAATGATTAGCGTAGTGATCTAAGCTGTTGGCCAAAGCATCCCCCAACAATTACTACTGGGTGGGTCATGTGGCCAATTTCAGCCAATCAGCTGAAGGCAAGATAAATTATCCTATGTTCAGAAGTGCTCTTCCACTGAACCTGAATGAAGAAGCCTGTGCCATAACTGGTCCAGCAGACTTCTTTTCAAGGCTAAGGAGTCCACCCTTGGAACGAAGTCGATGCTATGGTAATGGGGGAAAATGCCTGAGTCCTGAATGATATTGCTGTTCACCCTGAAGTCTGCTCTGCTTTTATATTTATTGTTACATAAGAAATAAATGCCCTTGGTGGGGCGGTGGGGGGGGGGCAATAACTTAGGAAGTTGAAATTAACAAATACATACTACTATATATAAAACAGATAACAAACAAGGACATACTGTATAGCACAGGGAACTATACTCAATATTTTGTAGTAACCTATAAGGGAAAAGAATCTGAAAAAGAATATATGTGTGTGTGTGTGTGTGTGTGTGTGTGTGTGTGTGTGTGTGTAACTGAATCACTCTGTTATACATCTGAAATTAACACAACACTGTAAATCAACTATATGGCAAAAAAAAAAAAATTGTTTTTTAAAAACAAGGGAAGAAAAAAAGAAATGCCCTTGTATACAAATTTGAGTCCTGTCTTCCAGTTACTTGCCGGTAAACAAATTCAATTGATATATATATAATATATATATATAATATATAATTTATACAGACACCAACTTTACCCAATTCTTTTCTTTTGAATAGCAGAGAAACTAAGCCCCCCAAATTGTCTATGACAATAACACCTGTGATATGACCTGGAGAATTTTATGTTATCAACTTGTTGACCTGGATTTTTAACATTACCATTCGTTCCAAAAGTCAATACAAAACATAATATAAATTTATGTAATTAAATAAAAATAAAGATACCAGATCTTGTATCCTCATTGTAAGTAAGAGAAATAAAGCATGCTTGAAACTAGGAGTCTAAAAACTAGGCTCAAACCTACATTTTATATTAAAAGTGGCTCTTGGTGGAAGGATTGGAGAAATTTCTTTGTACTTGAGATTCTACTGAGTGGAGGGTCCCTCCCATAGCCATTTGTTGGGTGGGAGGTTGGGGAAAAGGTACAATTTCATAGTCCTTTCCTATGTGGAAAGCAGAAGTTTAATACTTTTGTTTCTAGAGATGGTGGAGTATAAAGAAAAACCATATGACATAGGTACTACGGCACTTCCATAACAAAGGTATTTTTCTTCTCCTTTCCTACCCCTCTAACATTTTACCATAAAAAATTGTAAACAGGGCTTCCCTGGTGGCGCAGTGGTTGAGAGTCCGCCTGCCGATGCAGGGGATACGGGTTCGTGCCCCGGTCTGGGAAGATCCCACATGCTGTGGAGCGGCTGGGCCCGTGAGCCATGGCCGCTGAGCCTGCTCGTCCGGAGCCTGTGCTCCACAATGGGAGAGGCCACAACAGTGAGAGGCCCACATACCGCAAAAAAAAAAAAAAAAAGTCTCTTTTATTTTAATATGTAAATATGTATACTATACAGCAAAATTATCATAGATTTTGAAATTTCCAAACGCAAAAAAAAAAAAAAAAAAAAAAAAAAAAAAAAAAAAAAAAATTGTAAACATAAGAAAAGTTGAACAATAAACACTCATTTACTCACCATCTAGATTCTATAACAGTTAATATTTTGCTGCATTTGCTTTATCAGGTCTGTCCATTTAACCTTCTAATAATTTATTTTTTAATACATTTCAAAAGAAATTGTATACATCATTTAGGTTTTTAATACAACCAGAAAGGCAATTATTTTCTGTTATAAACACTAGGTATAATCTGATGTAATTAATATTTACTGTTTACATTTTATCTTGTCTTCCTAGTATAAAATGTCTAGTACCATAAGTAAAACATGAAGGATCATGAATTCTCTTCAGGAGAATACTTTAAAGTGCTACAGTATTAACAATATATTAATAACAGTTAGAGAGCTTGAAAACTATAGAGAATCTCTAAATAATATCATTTGACTCTCGGTTTACTATTCTTTTTTTCTTTTTTTTTGCGGTATGCAGGCCTCTCACTGTTGTGGCCTCTCTCGTTGCGGAGCACAGGCTCCGGACACACAGGTTCAGTGGCCATGGCTCAAGGGCCCAGCCGCTCCGCGGCATGTGGGATCTTCCCAGACCGGGGCACGAACCCGCGTCCCCTGCATCGGCAGGCAGACTCTCAACCACTGCGCCACCAAGGAAGCCCCAGTTTACTATTCTTTTCTCAGCTACAAGAAACTATAACTCATTTCACTGCAGGTATTAATGAGGCTGGGACTTCACATTTATAGGAGAAAAACCAAGTTCTGAGAAGAAACAGATGTTTCCGCAAAAGCTCTTTTATTTTTAAGAAAAAAAGAACTCTTTGTTTTGTGTTGCATTATAACTTGAATATCATTATCCTCCTGCAAGAAAAAAAGCCCACTTTTGTATTATTCTATAATCAAGTAATCGTATGTATGCCCATCAAACTCTTAATGTCTTAAAATTAAAGCAAAACTCTGAGGCAGCCACCTGGACTTCTAAAACAGAATGAATATCTTAAAAATGTGATCAAAATGAACATCTGAGCACAACATCTTGAGGGGAAACAGTTCAGAAGAATGGCACCAACCAGGGAAATGAAAAACAGTTTAAGGGGGCATTGGGAATGTGAAGGGCCATTTTTGGCTATTCTGCTAAATGGAGGCGGGTGTTTTAGGCTGGCATTCTGTGTCTGAGGGCAAAAAGGTTAAATGACCCACAAAGCACAAAAGAGTCCTGCACAATGAAGCACTGTCCCAACAAAGTATGCCAGTAAGCATCTATGCTGAAAGAAATGGTTTGGACCAGTTCAATTTCAGGGCATTGGACCGAAGCATTGAGTCTTACACCAAAAATTCCAGCTTATTATTATTCTTTATTTGTCTTTGTATAGGTGTGCATATGTTTTCTCCTAATTGCCTACAATAAACATGTCCAATTCTCTTATTGTTTGAAGACACACACTCACACACATACGAGTCTCTTACATGGAGGATGGGTGGGAAGTAGAGAACACTAAGAAGAGGTACTGGTATTTTTCTATCTTTGGCTTTTCTTTTCTTTTCACATCTGACAGGTAAGAAAATGAGCATAAATACCTTCTTTGACTAAGCTGTCAGTGAATAGACTGGTGAGGATGTTGGCAGGAAGGGTGCCATTGCCCAGCAGAATCCCAGACAGCATTGCCAACTTTGTCTGCTCTGCTTCAGAAAAGGCTTTAAGGAAGAGGAGAAGCTGTGGGTCAAACAAAAGAAACCATGTCTATAAAGTAAAGGACTAAAGTAGGAAAATAACACACAATGTACATCCACGGCTAGATGGCACACCCTGGTGGGTCTTACGCAGCACACTTCTTATTCATTGGAGACACACCCATATGTTCGATTATAAATTGGATGCTTTATCATAGTTCCTTTCTTCCAAGTTCACTTACGACAAAGCTATAGATAGCATTCATGGGAAGGAAAACAGACATTTGGAGAACAATGTAAATGGGTCACATAAATAATTTACATTCGACTTTGTATATGACAAAGTGTAAGTATTACAAAGTGTTTTCTGAAATACACTATTGCCTTTCATATGTTTTTCACTTCTATGCATGCTCCCCCCGCCATCCTCATCCTACAATAATACATCTACCCATTTTCTTTGGGTTATAACAAAAAACAAAGAAACAAAAAAAAACAGGAGTCAATAAGCTTTGACATGTAGCATATACTTTTATGAGCCCACAGCATAAAAAACTTTTTAAAAACAAGACTGCTGAGTGAAAAAAGCGTTTTCTAGGTTCTTGATGCCTCTTCTAAAATAATGAGATTCAATACAACATTGTAAATCTGCTATACTTTAATAAAAAATAAAGTTAAAATAAATAAATAAAAACAATAAAAGATATATAAACAAACAAAAATGAAATTCAAACTAGGTATTTCCTAGATCATATAGTTTTACCACCAGCCCTGGTGATGAGGTAATGATGGATGGAAGATAAAGAAAAGTTCCTAGCAGAGTAAAGGCCTCTGCTGTGATTTTGTAGTGAGAGGATGACAGTGTTGTTTGGGTCCTTCTGGGTCACAATGCTGCTATCCTCTTATCCCAGCAATAGGGAAAGTAACAAAGTAGCAACCCCTGAATGGTTGAAGGGAAGCCAAAGCAAAGGGGATTAGACCCCACTTGCCATTTTGAATTCTAAGAGTATCCAGGCTTATAGAATGCCCTCCTTCCTAACCTTCCTCCACTTAGTGCTCTGACTATATTATATTTATATTCCATGGCTATTTTCCCTGTTTCAACAGACCTTAGGCATGTTACTGAGATTCCCCAGGGCCCAATATCATTATCACTGTTGACTTTTTCATTACTCTGTACCAACAAAAAAATCACTGGCATCAATATAGGCTTATTAAATGTTTTAGGGCCAATGAAATTCCATTAACTCTGTGCGGTGGGTAGGACTATATTAATTTACCATTCCCAACAGTTAAAGGATTATTACATTACAGAGAGGTTATGTGACTCCAAATATTTATATGATGAGTAAGTGGCAGAACTGGAACCAACCAGTCCATTTCACTCCCAATTTATGCCTATTAAAATCTCAGTGATTTAAAAAGAAGTCACTTTCTAAGTTCACAAGAAAAGAGGGAGTGAGGGAAGGAGAAATCAATGGTTAAAGCTCCAGCGAGCCCCAGGAATGGGGTAAAAAAACCGACAAAACTATAGATACTTTATATCAATCTGGCTTCTTTCTCTTATTATCAAAATAAGTAAGATTGAAGTAAATAATGAAAAATAGCCCCCCAAATTAAAATATTAACACTACTTGTTTAAGCACATTAATATACTCATATGCATCAAAAAAACCCTCATTTATAACAAAATGGTGCAAAAATTATATCTTTTCTTAATATTAATATACACATTGCTCAATTATACTAGTCAGCATTAAAATCAGATGCTACATGTATTGCAGCAGAATCTTCTTTAAAAAATGGATACACTAGGCTTCCCTGGCGGCGCAGTGGTTGAGGGTCCGCCTGCCGATTCAGGGGACACGGGTTCGTGCCCCAGTCCGGGAAGATCCCACATGCCGCGGAGCGGCTGGGCCCGTGAGCCATGGCCGCTGAGCTTGCGCGTCCGGAGCCTGTGCTCCGCAACGGGAGAGGCCACAACAGTGAGAGGCCCGCATACCGCAAAAAAAAAAAAAAAAAAGGATACACTGTGAAAAATAAATAATTCTTGAAAGCATGTTCATCAAATGAATCAAATAGAAAGTTTTCAAGTTTCAAATGAACTGAGAAGAAAAACATGAACGATATTATTAGGCAAAATGATAAGATGTTTATCTGAATGCTTTAACATCATTTTTTTGGTCATATCTATCCCTCTATTTTAATGAAGCACTTGTTATTTTCTAAACATCTAGTAATATAATGGACCACTTTTATCCATTTAAATGCTTTTTCATGTTAAAAAAAGTAATACCTGCTAGTAGAACAAATCTAACAACACAGAATAATATAAAAATGTGAGTAATCTCCTCTTTAATCCTATTTCCTTAGAATTAACATTATTAACAGTCTGATGCGTCCTTTCAGATTTCTAAATGCAATTATATATGTCTACATTTTATAAATAACTAGATGCATATACACATGCTTTTACTGAATTACGCACTGATAATAGCTCAAACTTGTTGAGTGAAGCAGACAGTCTTCTGAACACTTCATGTGTATTAATAATTACAAAAGTCTTGATCCTCGCTTTAAGACAGAGAAATCTGAGGCACAAAGAATTTAAGTGACCTGCCTAAGGTTAAACTTCTACCAAATGGTTGCTTTTTCATTCAACAATTCATCATAGACATTTTCTTTTATCAATTCACATGGTTATGCCTCATTCTTTAACTGACTGCATATTATTCCACTGTACCGAGAGACCATAATTTAATTAACCCATCTCCCACCATGAACATTTAGGTTACGTCTCAATACTGTGATGAACATCTTTATACATATAGTTGTATGTATCCATGCTGAAGGATTCTTTTAAGTGTGAAAGTTGAGTCATGGAGAATGTAAATTTAAAACAGTGATTTTACTGTTTAAATGTTCTTCATGATACATGGAACCACTTCGAACAAAGGGAAGTAAGAGTAGGTGAGCAGCAAAGTAGATGTTGCCAAGTAACAAAATAAGTAGCAAAGTAGATGATTTCTTTATTCCCTTGGTTTATAATTTAGGCATATACCTAAAATCAGAAATGAAGACAAAGCAGCATACAAATCTGTAACAAGTTAATGTAGTGACTGCTATATATAAATACAGAGGAGCTACAAATTAGAAGGAGGAACATGTTGCAGTTTCTGAAAAGAGGGCTTCTTTAATAAGGTGCTATTGCGTATTTGGCTGCTTATTAGAGGCCAATTACTGTATTAAGTACCTTATAGCTCATCTCATTTATTAGTACAACAACCATAAAGTACGTACTTTTATTGCAGCTATTTTATAGATGAGAAAAGCCACTGAGATTTACACCCAGACACTATTTCCAAAGATGTGCTTCTATCCCCTTTGCTAAACTGCACCTTCTAAAATTAAGGAATTTTACTGAGTATTAGCTGCTGTGTTATGCTTTCACAAGCTTAAACTAATTACATATTCTGTAAAACTATTCCTTTGAACAAGGCATGCTGGCTTACATTAAACATGAAGGAAAAATTCTGGGCTAATCATGTTTTCTTTCTACAGCTATTAGCTAATGATCTGTCATACTCATTCCTTCATTCAACAAACATTTGTTAAAAACGTAAGAGGTCCATTATACTTCTGGACCATCACTGTAAGAGTGAAATTTTTGTCCCCCTTCATTTCATCATTTTAGCAAACAGAGCATTTCAGTTGAATTTTTACCTTTTTCATTTCATCCTCAAATGCCTTTTCCAAATACTTATATCTCCTGATGAGTTTATTGAAGACCTAAACATAAAAGACAAGCAGTTAATATTATGTGAACAATTTTAAAAGGCAATAGAAGGAGGTGTAGAAACTCACCCTAACTACAAGGGTCTACACTAATAAAAAGGTGTAGTTAAACATTCTCAGACTGTGGTATGAGAACTATCAGCATTTCAAGGAGCTATTATGACCTGAGGGAAAAAGAGGATCAAAATGCACATGTAGAATAAAACAAATTCATTTGAGAATGTAACAGGTGAGAACCAAAAATAACTTAGATGAAAATGAAATGAATCTAATTTTAAAACTGTGTGATGTAGAGATTGAAAACAACTGAAACTAAGGGGATCATAGATAGAATCACTTATACGCTGGATATGATGAAGAGGAGATCAGAGTTCAGGGGAGATTATACTCCAGGTGAACACAAACATGATTTCAGAAGATGAGCAATAAAGATTACTGGCCTCCACAATCTAATTAGAATTCTCAAGCAGGGTTTGCAACTGTGTCAGTGGAATTCTGGACTGTTTTTAAGAGGAATAATGTTTGTTATGGATTGAGTTCGTGTTCCTCCTAAATTCATATGTTGAAGTCCTACCCTCAATGTGACTATTTGGAGATAGGGACTTTGGGACAGGGTTAAGTGAGGTCATATAAGGGTGGGGCCCTAGTCTGACAGGACTGATGGTCTTCTAAGAGCCAGGAAAGGAAACCTCACAAGGAACCAAATCCACTGGCACCTTGATCTTGGACTTCCCAGCCTCCCAAACTGCAAGAAATAATGTTCTCTTGTTTAAGCCACCCAGTCTGTGGTAGTTTGTTACGGCAGCCCAAACAGACTAATACAATGTTCTTATTTAAATGGGGATTTTATAAATATTATTTTAATAAGTGTCGAAATGATTTCTGAATCCAATTCCTTTCTCTTATACCCACGTGATATACTGTCATCTAAAACTTTGTGTTTCTTCCTTAATGTGATCAAGATGGAGTTCAAGAGTGAAAATTATAGTGTTGCCCTTTATGAGGAAAGAAAAATGAGCCAGGAGGGAATTGATAACGAAATAAGGAAAAAAAAAGAAAACAACTATACTGAAGTCCTACAAATTTGATTTCCAACTTACACTAGCACTCACATATTTTTTAGTGTGATTATCATCAGGAAAAAGAATTCTCCTTATCCAAGAATGATTATCCAAATCCCCACAGGTAAATGTTTACATATGAAAGCAAAAGTCATTATACTACCAAAGTACTCTTCAATGAACTAACAGCTTATAAAATTAACTTCCACTCAAATACCTTTCTCAATTTAATCTCTCTCCCTGACTACCCCATTGACCTCTGTCAGTCTATCAGTATATAATAATGTTTAATAAACTTAGAAACAATAATGTACCAAAAGTTCTTTCAAATATACATATTCCATATGAAAAAACAAAATCATAAGTAAAAGAAACTATCCTATTTAGAAATAATGATGAGGTTAAGTCTATATAGATCTTTTCAATTTTATGAGACTAGTAGAGTACTGATTTTCCTTCCAGGCCTTCTTATCTTTCTTTCCCAGTGGGACTCAAATAGCAAATAATACACCTTGTACTTGCACTAATTTAATTCTCTGAGGAAGGTAAGGCAGGCATTAACATCATTGGCAGACCTGGAAACTGCTACTAAGTATCACAGCAGGAACAGAACTCAGAAATTCTGATCCTCAGTGAACTTACTTGTCTAATATATCATAAGGCGAGAGAGAACTTTAAAAGAACAGCTTTTGAATTGAGAACATCTGCTTCAGTATCCACCTGGCCCAAGGTGTTTGTGGCCATTGACATAAGAGAGTAGAAGCAAAGATTTAGAGAGGACAGGTTAGAACATCATCCACCGAACCCACGTGCTTAACCTTTTGGTCCATTTTTAAAGATTTCCTTGGTTTTTATCTATAACACATTTCTTAAATATAAAAAAGGGGAAGAAATATCTATGCTAAAATAGCATGTGATTAAAAGAATAATTTTTGAAGTTTAAATTCTTAATGGCCATATATCCCAAATTACTTGGCTTGGCATGCCTTACACATTTTAATAAACAAAGTAAAGACAGTCTCTAGCATCTGAAACCACATAGCTGCCAGGGATTCCTATGGCCTCTTTCATATATATGTATATATATATATATATATATATATATATATATATATATAATGAAATGTGTAAAACAAAAAGACTTGTTGACCTGGGACTTGCCTTCATGGTTTAGATGGGAATAAAAACTGACTTTTAAGAAGAGTCAGTGAAAGAATCAGAATAGGAACACACCAACCCTAAGCTGGCTGGTCACAATGCACATATGTTCAGCTTTAGAAGGTAATATCTACAAGCTTGTCCCATTTTACACTACCACCACTTCCTGACCTTCACCAGGGCCTAAATACTTCTTAATTTTCACCAATCTAATGAATGCAAAAGGGTATCTCAATATTAATTGAAATTTTCTCAGTGAGTTTGAACTCATTTCCTTTGTTTTTTGGAGGAATTGTGTTTCCTCTTTTCTGAAATGCCTGTAAGTCTTTTCCTAATAGGTTGCTTGTCCTTTTGTTATTGATTTACAGTTCTTTATCTAATCTGGATATGAATCCTTTATCGGTTTTATGTATTACAAGTATCTTCTTGCCTCTTTCTTTTAAACAGCTACCTGAGAGTCTGTTAATATGAATTACTAAACTCTATGGATTGACTTATATATTGTTTTCATCCTTTGATATTATTACAAGCAACACTATAATAACTGCCGCTGTTTGCGTCACTTTACACATGCCGCTGTCTGCAAGATGAGGTCATAGAAGTAGAATTGCTGAGTCAAAGGGAATGTGTAGTTTTAGTTTTGAAAGATAGTGCTAAACTGCTCTCCCTAAAGCTTGGACCAATATATACTCCACCAGAAATTATGATTCCCCATATCTCTTATAGGTGAAAGGTAAAGAAACTCTACTTTGGTGAAGCTTTAATGTCCATTATTACGAATGCAATTCAGTATCTCTTCCTATGCTTAAGACCTATCTAATATCCCTATTTAAAAAGTAGCCTGTAGAATTTCTGAACCTAATGTTTTCCTAAATTCTGTTCAAATGTTTCCCTTCCAGTACAACAATCTCTCAGTGACAGGCTCTACCTGAGCATAGTTTCGGATGGTTTCGTGATCTTCATTTGCTGAAAACACACAGTGGTTGGTCATCTTGGTCTTGTCACCATCATCTATGCGTGTTCCTCCAGGGGCTAAAAAGGAAAAGGTAATGACCATTAGGACGATGCTGAAATCAGAAGAGCATTTGCAGAAGAGATCAATTCCTGCACATCAAGGAAAACAAAGGTAGACGTCACATAAACTTTCATAGAATGATGTGCATGTGTAGACACACACAGTTTTTAGATTATCATCTTAATAAAATTTTGTACAGGTGGTTGTATTTATTACAAAGGGCTAATTAAATCTTGTGCATAAATTAATTGCATGAAAATAGACTCCTGAAGGAGGTGACTTTTCTAAAAACTAATTTACTTATAAAAGATGCATACATGTTATGATTTGTTTACATTTCTAACATAATGCAAAGTGGTTGTTCGATTTTCTATTCCTACTATAGTGTATGATGCGATTGTTGTTCTATATACTTGCCTTCACTAGATCCTACCACTACAAGTCTGGTTCTTTCCAAAGTATATCTTTAACCATGGCAGCTAAACAATAACATTTGTTCAGTGAATTTAACTTCATTATTCTCAGTGCAGTTCCTGATGTTTTCCCACATCGGAACATGATTCACTTTTCAGGCTTGATAATATTTTGCTGGACTCCAGTTCACCAATACTGGAACTGCCCAGACCTGGCTTTTACAGATCTTGCTGGTTTCTACTTCAGTAGGCATTAAAAATGTTCCCTCCTCCACCAACTCAGTTATTCACAGTGTTGAACAGTATACACTCTGACCCCTTGTCATTTGATCACCCAGCAGTTGCACTGGCTAGGAACGAGTGTATTTTATCCTCTCTAATCTTTCTTCCCCATGGCCTGTACAGTAATCATGGAATAAATGGATAGACCAAATGAATGCCTTTTTTCCATTACTCAACTTTCCTCATTCAAAGGCTCCTCCTGTAAGTTTCAATGGTGGTCATTACAAACATTGGTTGATTAGAAGACCAGAGTCAGAACACTAGGTATTTTTGTTTTCTGATTCTACTTTATCAGAATAAGGGTAGAAATTTGAGCAAGCCAAGTTAGAGTAATAACTATTATATACTCAACAAGTATTTGCAAAGTATACACTTGTATAGGCCACTCTATTTATTTTAGTGTTTTGATTTGAGTCGTATTTCAGATCTTTGGATAAAATGAGCTACACATAACCAACTTTTTTACAGGCTCTGGCATACAGTTTTATAAGTAAGTTAGCTTTTAGAAAAGTCCGCTCCTTCAGGAGTCTATTCTCATGCAATTAATTTATGCACAAGACTTAATTAGCTCTTTGTAATGAATACAACCACCTGGAACAAAATTTTATTAAGATGATAATCTTCTAAAAACCCTGAGCTAATGATTCCTATCTGATAGAAGTTACATAACTGAAAAGTCTGATTTTGAAACTACAGTCTTTTCTCTTAAGAGGTAAGATTTAAAAATTGCATTCCCTTACAAAAGAAAATATTTGTTACACATTGATAATACTGCTACACCTTACATTTAAAATTTTGTTCCCTGATATCAGGATGAAGTATGAATTGTCATTTCTAAAAATTTTGGTGATCCTGCTGTTTTTCTCAAACTAGAAGTAAAAGAAAAGTACTTCTTCTTTTTTTTATTTTTTATAAATTTATTTATTTTATTTATTTATTTTTGGCTGTGTTGGGTGTTCGTTGCAGCGCGCGCGCTTTCTCTAGTTGCGGAGAGCGGGGGCTACTCTTCATTGCAGTGCGCGGGCTTCTCATTGCAGTGGCTTCTCTCGTTGTGGAACACAGGCTGTAGGCTTCCGTAGTTGCGGCGCATGGGCTCAGTAGTTGTGGCTCACGGGATCTAGAGCACAGGCTCAGTAGTTGTGGCACACGGGCTTAGTTGCTCCGTGGCATGTGGCATCTTCCCAGACCAGGGCTCGAACCCGTGTCCCCTGCATTGGCAGGCGGATTCACAACCACTGCGCCACCAGGGAAGCCCCAAGAAAAGTAAAGTATTTCTTGTATCTACTCTTCAAAGGGTACGACTGAAAAACCAAGGTAACTGTTGTCTCAAGAATAACAGGGGAAGGTAAATATTTTTGTGGGTGTGAAGAAAATTCTTACATACTCCATTTGTAAACAAAATGTTTATATAAAAAGAATGCACCTGGCTGACTTTATTCATTATATCATAGGTCTGGCCTCAGTAGACATCTGGGGTAGTACTGCCTGTGCTCATAAGTTGTACCAAACATTTGCCCTCCCCTCTTTTGGATGGATAGGTGTGGTGTGAAGGAGTGAAATCTAGGCTGCAGATATAAATTTGTTGATAATCATTATAGAGATGGTAAATGAAGCCTTGACATAATCAATGCAAAGCATATAATTTTAAATAGATGTAAGGGGACAAGTATGGAAACCTAGGAGTCATGTGAGAAGTGGCAACTAGAGAGGTAGGAGGGAGTCTAAATGGTCCCATGTAAGGCAAGAAAGGAAAGCATTTCACGAATGATGAAAGGGTCAACAGTGCTGCCAGGAAGGCACTAAAAACTGAAAAGCGTGCGTTGAATTGAATGGTGAAGTCATGTGTGACTCTGGCAAGAACCAAAACCGACCGAAGACTATTCTTGCATACAGTTTACCAGTGCATCGATACAAGTATACCATAACTAAGGAAATTGAAAAAGCCAATAATCACATCGGGAAAGGTTCAACTTCACTGTTAATTATGGTTTTCATTCTTTTTAGAATCATCTAAGGTAACATAACACTCATGGGCATGAAAGGCAACAACATACTGCAGAGTAAATATAAAACAGCATGTAGAGTGTCACATTTGTATAATATCATCCCATTCTCAAAAGTTTATGTATTTCGGTAAAGAGATTTCTAGAAAAGAATTAACCAAAATATCAACAATAGCTATCTCTGTGTATTGGGATTTGAACACACTATAAAGAGCTTTTTATACGTGGACTTGAATTATCTACAGGGATAAACTGAGACTTTCATAAATGATAACAACAAAATAAACTTGGTACGTAGTGAAAACCAGCAGTTCAGATCAAAAGGGGACCTGAAAGTAAACGGGACCATGTACCAGCATAGATAGGTCTAAGAGCTCAGAGGGAAGAATTAAAGGGTAGCTCTACCTAAAAATGTATGTATACACCCTGGCTTAAAGTAGATTAGCTTGAGCAGCATTTCTCAATGAAAGGCACTCACAGCACGCTGGGCAGGGCAATTTTTCATTGTACTGAATGTTCCTTGCATAGCAAAGTAGGTGGCATACCTGGCCTCCACTCCCAAGTCTTTGTAGCAACCAAAACACTTCCACACATTTGTGAAGGTCCCCTAGGCAGCTGAAAGTCACTGGCCTGGGGATCTGACAATTTCCAGTGATTTATGGTTACCATAGGAACTAATTATGAAAACCAAGTTCTAAGAATAACTATGAAAGGAAAAATGGGTGGTTGTGATACCTAATAAACATTTAGAAAAATATACCATACCACTTAAATAGTATTCTGAAGCCTTTCCCCCTGATGTCCCTGCTCTATAAGACATAGTTTTTATTTTGCTTTTTATCTATCTTTAACAATTTCCAAACTTCTATCTTTAATCCTTTTACCTACACACTCACAATTACAAGGATTTTTTAAAAACTAGATTTAAACTATATTTCGTAGACGGTTTTCTATGGATAAAATGAATTTTAATGAGAACTAAATTTAATGAGAATTCTTTTTAAATTTGTTGACACAGTTAAATCTCACTGCTCACTATACCCCAAAAATAAATAAATAAAAAATAAAGAAAGAAAAAGAAAAAAAGGGTGGGACTCAAAAGAAATGTGCTATGGCAATTGGGATTTAATGATATATACTGGAAGGGTCTAGATGACAAACATAAAGTTATACTCTACTGTAGAAATTACTCCTCCTAAGTCCACTCGAGAAACATTCAAATATTAGGGACACATGGAAAAATTGGCTTTTATCTAAAGTCAAGGGGCCAATCATGTTGTATGTCAACAAAAATCCTCAATGCTATGCCTCTCTTAACTAACAATCATTTCATAGCCACATTAATACCATTCTAAATCGTAATCTAGGTAAAAGTTGTAGAGACTCCCATTTACATTTTTTTACCAACTATCATAAATGTAAGCTTATAAAGATTCTATCTCATAAGAAAATATTTCAGTAGAATTGAAAGTACATAATATTACAAGAAGGTGCTCTAATGTATGGTTTACCGAGCATACTGCCAGCCACCAGGATATCAAAGAGTGTGTCTGCATAGCGACGATAATCTAATCTTGAGCCTGTAGAGTCCAGAAACTTGGCTACAGCTTCAAGGTCATCACCAGCTTCATTAAGTCCCTGGATGAGTGTGTCCCTGAAGACTGTGGGTTCGAATTTCTCTTTTTCATCTAAAATAAATACAGAATACAATTATTCTTTTACTTCCACAACATATTCCCAAATGCAACCATACATTTCCTTTGTTCACTGGTTTTTATTTGATAGTATGATTATTTAAAAGTTGAAGGATAGGGCTTCCCTGGTGGCGCAGTGGTTGAGAGTCCGCCTGCCGATGCAGGGGACACCGGTTCATGCCCCGGTCCAGGAAGATCCCACGTGCCGCGGAGCGGCTGGGCCCATGAGCCGTGGCCGCTGAGCCTGCGCGTCGGAAGCCTGTGCTCCGCAACGGGAGAGGCCACAACAGTGAGAGGCCTGCGTACCGCAAAAACAAAAAAAAAGTTGAAGGATGATTAAGTTTTTCTACTAGCTTTCCATGTTAAAGCCCTTGTTTAAATATTTATTCAAGCAATTTATTTCTGTTGAAAGGGGCCACACTCTATCTAATACATTAAAAAATTGATGATTGATCATTTGTGTCACTCATAGGATAGGCCAATGTAATCTACTAACCCTATCTATCTGATAAACAATAAAGTATAACAATCAAAACTTAAAATTTTGTTCCACTTAAGACAGAAAAAGAAAATCATGCGGGGAGAATCACTTAAGAATAAGGGAGAATATATAAACAAACAAAATAAAGATTGGGAGGAAGAAAATCAAGAGGGGTATCTCTTTAAATTTTTTTAGTCGAGATATAATTGACATATGATATTATATTAGTTGCAAGAATACAATATGATTTGATATTTGTATATATTGCAAAATGATCACCATAATAAGTCTAGCTAACATTCACACATTTTTTTTGCTAACAGTCACACATTTTTGTCTTGTAATGAGAAATTTTAAGATCTTTCTTAGCAACTTTCAAGTATGTAATACAGTATTTTTTTTTAACTTTTAGTTTTATATTGGAGTATAGCCTATGAACAATGTTGTGATAGTTTTAGAGGCACAGCAAAGTGACTCAGCCATACATACACATGTATCCATTCTCCCCCAAACCCCCCTCCCATCCAGGCTGCCACATAACATTGAGCAGAGTTCCCTGTGCTATCCAGTAGGTCCTCGTTGATTATCCATTTTAAATATAGCGGTGTGTGCATGTCAATCCCAAACTCCCAAACTATCCCCTCCCTCCACCTTCCCCCCGCTCATAACCATAAGTTCGTTCTCTAAGTCTGTGAGTCTGTTTCTGTTTTGTGCAATACAGTATTATTAACTAGAGTTATTATGCTGTACATCACATCCTCATTACTTATTCTACGATTGGAAGTTTGTACATTTTGACCACTACCTTCACCCACTGCCCCCTCCCCACCACGTCCCCACCAGTGCGCCTCTGGCACCCATCAATCTGTTATCCATGAGCTGTTTTTTTGTTGTTGTTTGTTTGTTTTTGTTTTAAAGATTCCACACGTAAGTGAGATCATACAGAATTCGCCTTTCTTATTTCACTTAACATAATGCCCTCCAGATCCATCCATGTAGTCACAAATGACAGGATTTCCTTCTTTTTATGGCTGAGTAATGGACAGGTTGTTTCCATATCTTGGCTTATTGTAAATAATGCTGCAGTGAACATTGGGGTGCATGTATCTTTTTCAGTTGGTGTTTTCATTTTCTTCCAATAAATACCCAGAAGTGGAGGTGCTGAATCATGTGTAATTCTATTTTTAATTTTTTAAGGAACCTCCATACTGTTTTCTATAGTGGCTGCACCAATTTACATTCCCACCAATACTGTTCAAAGGTTCTCCTTTTTCCACATCCTCACCAAAGACTTGTTATTTCCTGGAGGAATTTTTTTTTTTAACAAGATAAATTATTCCAGAGTACTTAAATATTTAAAAAATATCGTGAGCTATACATTTATATATCCAGCTTCAGAGCAGATGTTCTCAACCTTCTTGTTTTCATGACCCCTTGACACCCTTCAGAAGTATTAAAGATTCCAAAGAGCTCTTGTTTATAGAGGTTACATCCATGGATACTTACTTTATAGAAATTAAAGCATAAAATTATTTATTACATGAAAAATATTAGTGAGAAGAGAGGCACTGTTTTACACTTTTGCAAATCTCTTTAATGTCTGGCTTAATGGCAGACAGATTTCCAAACATGCTGCATGCAATCTGTTGCAATATCACACAACCTGTAGCCGCCCACTGTAAACTCATGAGAGAATGTGTGAAAGGGGCAAATAATATCTCGGTATTTTATTTGAAAACAGTTTTGACTTTGTAGATGCCCTGAAGTATTTCAGAGGATTTAGGGGTACGGATATTATGTAAGTTCCTCTCCTCAGCAGACTCTAGAGAGACTTCTTGTGGAAGGTCAGTTTGGAGCAAAATCTTGAACAAAATAAAGATCATATGCTGTTGAAAGAATGTGAAGATAGCAAACTAGAGGTCAGAAGAGGTGTAAAAAAAAAAAAAAGGCTAGGTTAAAGGCAAAGTATGTAGGATTCAGTTCAAAGGATTTCACCTTTTTCCCCCCCTTATGCAGAGTCTGCATATGGGGAGAGACGGGCAAAAGATGAATCCAGAAGTTAAAAAAAGAAAAAAAATTCTATCATATGTGTCTTTAGAGATAAGTAGATATTGCAACTGTAAGAAAACAAAAAGAAAAGGAGGAGGAGAAGAAAAGAATGCTATAGAAAAAGAAACATTTCATGAATTAAAAAAAAAAGCTCCTAGAAATGAAAATTATGACAGAAAAACATAAGAACTCAACTGAAGAGTTAAAAGAGAAAGCTGAGACTATCTCTTAGAAACTGGGAAAAAAGTCAGAGACCTACAAAATAGGAGCAAAGGGATAAGAAAAAGAGCAGACCAGTCAAATGTCCAAATAATAAGTGAATAAAAATATTTTTTTTTAAAAAAGGAAAGGAAAGGATTTAAACATTTCAAGAAAAAAAAAAAAAAACAAGAAAAAAAAATTGCAAGAAAGTTTTACAGTATTGAAGGACATGAGTTTCCCAATAAAGGACTGTCTAGGGACCCAGCACAAGGACTGAAAATGGATCCACAAGGTGCATTCATTACTGTGAAACTTCAGAACACTGGGAATAAAGCAACTCTCTGAAGTTTCAGGTGCAGAAAACCAAATCACATATAAAGTATCAAGAAACAGAATGACTTTGAATTGCGCAACAGAAATACCAGAAACCTGAAGATATTCCTTCAAAATTATGAGGAAAAACAATTTTCAAACTAGAATTCCAGTGTTCGGTCACACTACTAATCAAACGTAAGAGCAGAATAAACATATTTCAAGACATTCAAGGCCTCAAAAATTATGTTTCTGATACACTCTTTTTAAAAGCGATTGAAACAGACACCACACCGAAATGAGAGAATAACTCATGATTTCACAATCTTAGTAAGTCACGAGATCCCAGGAAAAAGAGAAAAAAAATCTAAGAGATAGACAACAGTACTCTTCAGGATAGTGGTGAAAGGACATTTCAAGCATTTCACGTTAACAGCTGGACAGCTGGCCTAGAGAGCAAACCAAATGGAAGAGGGTTTTTCAATACAATCATACAATATGATACGATACATAGTCAGAATTCCTTCAATGTAATATCATTGTTAGAATTCCTAAAGTGTTTATATTAAGAGATTTACATAACAAGGGAAAGGATGGGGTTGACTAGTTTTAAGGTACAGAAGACTAAGCAAAAAAAAAAAAAGATTTTGATTATTATTAAATCCAAAGAGAAAATGGTGTTCAGAAAAATAAATCAAATAATAGTTCAGCTCTGAAGAACATGTACCAAGTCACAATAATATATACCCTAAACAGGAGTCTAGCTAAAACTGTGATATAATGCAAGGACAGAGAACGAGAAGAGGTTTGCAGGTGGGTGAGGCATGAAAGAGCCGAATCCTTCTCTCCCATAGGAGGACATGCATCTAGAATACCTCCAACAGAAACATCAAGCATCAGCCATACAGGAGTGTTATTTGGCCACAGGAATGCAAATGCTGAAAGAAGCAGTTAAAGAGTAGAAAGAGTTCCGCTGGGGTCTTGCAGAACTGTTTGACTATTTAAACCACGTACACGCATGACTTTGATACAATTAAAAACTACATGTAAAAACCAGACATCAGCTGCCTGTTTTGTACAGACTGCCTACCTACAGTCTAAGAGAAGGGATGTGTTGTAAATAAGGGGTTAATACCACAGCCTCAGAGACAGAGAAGAATGGCATTCCCAGTACCAGTCAGAGTCACGCAGCATAAGATACCATGAAGAGAGATGTAAATTAACTTGAACACTATTCGTCATGAACAAGAGATAAAAGTCCTTTTGATGCCATAAGCAAAACATTATGCAGCCAAGAACATGCAAATGTTGACCGCAGGAAAAACATAATTGGGGTCTTGTTGTGAAGCGGGGGAGGGAGAGAATGGGCACCCTAGAAGCATAGATCACGGGGTGCAGAAGAAGTGGGGAACTGTGACCCACAGGATGAACTCATTGGCAAGCATCATCCCCTCCTCGGGGTCCAGCCAAAGGGTAATTCACCACCCACCTTGGGAAGAAGTTCCCTCTCCTTGAACACGAAAGCATGAGAAGTAAAAAGACCACGAGCTGCTTATTAAGTCTCGTGACCAGCTCCCAAAATCAACTGAGGCCATCTGCACAATGGCACCCCAACATGCTTTGACGTTGACTCAGGTGGTAGAACAGGCTTTGGTGGTTTGAAAATTATAAATTCAAGACACTGGAAAAGATAAGTTGGGCAATAAGGTAAGCTACAAATTCATGCAGACAGCTTTGTTTTGAATCTAAGAGACAACTTAAAAACTCTTCTTTGTAAAAAGGCCCTCATCCACCAGTTACACGTTTCCGAAAGACTTGCTAAGGACGAGGGCAAGTAAAAGGAGGAAGACAGCACATCATGGCCAGACATATTTCAACAGCGAGTAATAATGCACTAGGTCAAAATGATCACGTATAGCTTAGGAATCTTAAAAAGTCATGATGGCCTGGGAGGATTAATAATTCTCTTGCAGGATGAAAAGCAAAACTCCCACCTGGTAAGATAAGTGTCCATCTAGAGGAAAACAAAATTCCTGTACAGGAAAATGGCAAGAACATTACTGGAAGTTTGGGGAAACAAGACAATATTTTACCCATAGGTTCTTTTCCATCTGAAACAACCAACAGTATTTGTATTTCATTTGAGGACAGTGTAGCAGAAGTACCAACAAAACCCTAACGAAAATATGCCATTGCTTCCTTGAGTTTCCATTTGGCAGGTCAAAACTCCCTTGAGGTAGGAAGTATACAATTAGGGTCTCACATTTATACTGTGTTGGTGAATCACAAGTGTGACACTGAAGAGTCAGTCATAATCACCCTCACACAACATAGAGAAACAGACCTATTTCCGACACTCAAATACGCCTGTAAGTTATCTAAATACATTGCTTTCTCTAAGAACTATGGTAAATGGTTAAGACAGCATTTTCCCAATGTGTTAAGTGACAAATAACAATCTACCCTCCCTTTCTGAAGGTCACTGAGTTACAGTAAATGAATAAGAACGATCAAACGATCATGGGTTTTCTAACTATACACACACAGATTTACTTCGTATATATTTAAAGATTTACCTCATTAGTTCCTAACACCACTTATTACAAATCTAAGAGTGATTTAAAACCACCAAAACAGATCTAAAGCCTCAAAGAGAAACCTGAGTATGTGGTCCCTCTGGAGGCCTGAAGTCTGGTCATTTTTTTCTCTCCTATTTTCACTAATTTTAATCCAATTTCTCCACAAAATTTAGAGGGAGGCCAGCTCAATTATTAAATATTTCATTTCATTAAGCATAACAATGGCTCAGGGGAGAAATGTTCATCCTTTCAGATTCCTCCAAGTCACACTAGAAAACATAATCCCTCTGGAGAAAATATTATAAGCAAGATGTGCATATTTCACAGAGGATATGTTCGATATGATGTGTCCTACCATAATGTTTAATTTTGATGTTAAGCAAAAAGAAACACATTTTTATACTAACTTGGCAGGGAAGAGCATTAACTTTGCTAGGAAATAGGTACAAACTGAAGACTGAGCTTCAGAAGACAGCCTATTAAAACGACCTTGAAGTATCCTCCGTAGATATTTTTTCTCGGCTCTACAAAACTGCCAACCATTTATCTGAATTCAGCCCCATCATATTAGCAGAAGAAACGCCAAAGCACAATGAATCCTCAGGATGCAATTCACTATTATGAAAAGCAGAAAATGAGGTTGACTCCATTTTTTTTTTTCCAGTCAGTAGTCTGGCACAAAATGGCTCAAGTGCTGCTCTAATCCCCAACAGACCTGAGTTATATAAATCTAGATCAACTGATAAATGATAGATAACATATTTCTGGGTGGCTCTCTGTGAGTATTCCCGCAGCTATCAGACACAGGCACAGCCTTGCCCACCAAATGAATCAGAGGCAAACCAGTTCAGTGTTAGAGGCAACCTTTCCAGTCCAAAACTGAAGACTGACCGTAAGGGCCAGTTTACTCGCTGAATCATGCCTGCTCTTGTGCAAGACATCCTTGGGCCCTCTCCTGGCGTTGGAGCTCAGCTACCGTGAATCAGCGTCACACTAAGACAGCTGCCTGAGTTGGAGATCCAGGTCTGAGATTAACACGTTCCCTCAGCAGGCAGGCAATGGCAAACCTTCCTTCACCTGACAGTTAGGCATACATTAAATATTATCACATTACTAGGCGCAACAATACCTTAACTGTAACTAGGTTTCTGATTAAGTCCTTTGGAAATCATCGACGTCATTTATGTTTTTCAAGACGGCTTTAAACAATGAGACAAAGAACACACGCTGGTTGCAGCAGCTTGCATTGCTATCTGCTTCCAGATTTCAATCCGCATTGTGTAGTGGGGACACAGTTTGTAAGAGGGCTAAATATAATAGAAGGAGGTGGTTCAGACTATACTTATACTTAGCTTATGGGGATGAGTCAAGGATGCAAAAGATAAAAATAAAAAAGAGTACAAGACAGAAATACTATACAAAACAACCGTATCTTTTGGTTTTTAAAATATTTTTTAATTTTCATTTTTTTAGTGGGAATGTGAAGCTTTCTGGCAGGTAGCATTTACAGTTAAATTTAGTCCTTACTGCTACCTAGTGACTCTTGCAATCTCTTCTAATTCAAATGATCTATTGTACTGAGAATTCTTTTCTTTCTACACGGCTACACTTGCTACTTACATAGTCACAGCATTGCAAGAGAACTTCAGCTACACGCATTGGCTGGAAATGCCAAAGGCATGTGATATAGCTTATCAATTCAACAATTTTGCACTCGATGACCATTACATGGCATTCTGCTTCATAATCAGCTATGAGGCCTTCAGAAAGATATTCAATCATCCTTTATCTTTACACATGATACTTCCTTAAATATTTTTCAGTCACTCTCCTCAGTGTCAGTCAACATAATAATTTCATACCATGTTTCATATTTTAAAGTTTCCCTATTGGGACTTCCCTGGTGGTCCAGTGGGTAAGACTCCATGCTCCCAATGTAGGGGGCCTGGGTTTGATTCCTGGTCAGGGAACTAGATCCCACATGCATGTCGCAACTAAGAGTTTGCAGGCCGCTACTAAGTAGCCCACATGCCGCATCTAATCCCTGGCACAGCCTAAATAAATAGATAAATAAATAAATAGATTAAAAAGTTTCCCTATCAACTTTTGGCTCAACTACTCTTAAAACCAAGAGGATTTCTATATAATTATGCAAAACTGATTAAATATTATAAAAGATTTAAAAATTATTTACACAGAAAAATGGGAAGATGAACAGAACAAAAAGAAGTCACTCACATATAGAAATTGTACCAGCCATCATCAAACTGGCTATATCACTTCTCTTCCCACAATAAAAGACACTTGAAAATATCCTGAGTTTTACAGATATTTAGGGCAGTAAATTTAGTTCGACTTTCTAAATTCTGAAAAGGTTAAAACTTTCAGTGTCTTCCCTAATTTACTCTTCTCTTAGTTTTACTATCTTGGCTTATGAACGTTTTCTTAAAAACACAAAGAAAGCAAAAACCAAATGCAAACGCTGATGTTAAAAACAGTAAAGTTTATCAACTGCCTTCATAGCCTCACATGAGAGTAAGGCAACCTGAACAGATATAATCATCCTCATTTTGTAGATGAAGATACAAAGCTCAGACAAGTTAAATGACTTGTCCAAAATCAAACACCTAAGTAACTGGCAGTTCTGAGGCTTGAATGCACACCTTCAGATTTTACAGTCAGAGCTCAAAAGACAGAAATTAGTGAGGTTAGGTGGAAACAAAGATAATCCCAACTCCTCTTTGTGGAATTAATTAAGAAACCTCAGCTAAAATTGGAGTCCTGACATGCCTGTAGGGGGAGCTCTTATACCCTGCCATGCATCATCAATTACTCCAAACAGGAAGATACTTATGCCTTCCTCTCTAGTCTCCAACGGAAAGGTGTTGCCTACTTAACTGTCCAGAAGAAAGAAGAAAACTTCTCTCCACCTAACCACAGCCCAGCCAATCAGAGAATGTACCAGAACAACCTATGAGTAGCCTCCATACTTTGGACTCACAGCTTCCTCACATGGACTGTTGAGTTATCACAGCTCCTCTCAACTCCCCTCTTTTCCCTATAATACCAAGTTTCTCTTCCTTGTTCTCTGACTTGCCCCATAGTTCACATACCCCGAACTGCAATTCCTCTGGGCTCCTCCCGAAGAAACTCGCTTTTGCTAGTAAAATAACTGGCTGTTGTATTGTTAAACTTGACATTCACCAACCTTATTTTTTATTTTATTTTTTTTGCTGTACACGGGCCTCTCACTGTTGTGGGCTCTCCCGTTGCGGAGCACAGGCTCCGGATGCGCAGGCTCAGCGGCCATGGCTCACGGGTACAGCTGCACCGCAGCATGTGGGATCTTCCCGGACCGGGGCACGAACCCGTGTCCCCTGCATCGGCAGGCGGACTCTCAACCACTGCGCCACCAGGGAAGCCCCAACCTTATATTTTGATTAGAACTTTAAACACACATTTCCCCCAAACCTGTCCCCGCCACACACACACAAACACACAACACTACCTACCCCTTTTCCGAGTTTTGAAACGCTGGCCTGTTAGCACTGGCTTCTGATGCTTATTCATAAAATTTCTGAAAACAAAGAAAATAAGATTAGGCACTTCAAATAAGCAGTTCATATAATATATAGCTAATAAGTATATGTTTGACTTCACCCATACTAAATATACTTTTAAAAATGAGATAACTGTAACTACTGAACTAGCAAAACTTTTAAAGTTTAATAATATCTAGTGTGGACAAAAGACACAAGGAAAATAACCACAGACATAAACTTTGATATAAAGGATAAACTCCATGCAATACTTTTGGGAAGCATTTGGTGAATATCTATAAATATTTACATGTGCATAACCTATGGTCCAGTAATTCCTTTACAAGGAATTTATTCTACAGTTATACCCACACAAGTATGCAAGTATACATGTATGTGTATATATAAAAGGATTTAGCTGCGACATTGTTGGATGCATAAAAAAATGGAAGCTGAATACTCATAAACCTATCTAGTTCAATAAGTTATAATAAGCCATCAAATGGAACTACGAAGCTTTACAAAATAAATTATATCCAATGTACTACATATGGCCCTGGCTACTTCTCTGATTATGTTTCCTACGTATACCTCTTCCCATCATTCACTGCTCCAGCCACATTGCCCTCTTTGCTTCTTCCAGTGGGCCAGGGAAGCCATTCACGTGGCTTTAACTCTCTGCACTCACTCAAATGCCTCCATTTCAGAGACCTTCCCATACCACCCTGACTAACAAGGCTCCTTCTCTCTCTCTCCCTCTCATCTAGCTCTATTTCTCTTCATAGCTCACAGCAGCCTGTGTCATTTCATTAGCATCTGTTTGCCATGGTCTATTTCCCCCAAGAGTAACATCCATGTGGGTAGGGATTTTGTAGGTTTTACTCAATACTGTATCTTTAACACCTAAAAGAATACTGAGAGTAAGCATTTAAATTTAATAAGTAATTGTCAAATAAGCTGTTGCACTGATACGGAAAGATGTTCAAGTAAAATTGTTAAAGGAAAAAAGCAAGCTGAATGAGTGTAAAGCAATTTTTCGGTTAAAAAGGGGGATACACGTAATATTTCGTTTTCTAGGCAAGGAACATTTAAGAATGATACAAGAAACTGTTAGTAAGCTTTTCATTTGTTTGCTTAACCTCAGAGGATGAGTATCTGGGTATTTTAAATTCTCCTATTGGATTTAATTAAAAATATCAAAAATGATCTTTTAAAAAAGTGAAAAATCTGTTCTAAAAGACCTTTTACAAACTGAGGATAACCTTGCTGGCATAAATATTACAACCTGAAAATATGTCTAGATTGCCTAAATTATGAGGACCAAACGATTAAGATAATGTCAAGCAAATTATTTAATTATCTTTCAAAGATTTTTAAAATTGTGATTTGAAAATGTCTAGATTTTCTCCATTACTTATACCATTAAATTATCAAGAAAATTTGCAACATTAAACAGTAAATTATTTAATTATATCTCAAAATTTTAAAAAAATCCTCAAGAATGTGGAAAAATTATTATTCAATTTATGTACCAAAACTTTCTTCCAACCCCATGAAAAAAGAGAAACTTCTATTTTCACATAGAAATCAATTGAAAACTTGAATCACCATTTTTAAAGTGAAACTAAAAAAAAATGTTTTAAATAAAGTAACAAAGCCCAAAAGTAACTTTTTTTATGGTTTAAGTAGAGAGAATTTTTATCAATCCTATAAAGTGAACTTACTACATCCTGCTTTGAGATATAAAGGTGACTAAGCTGGATTCCAAGCCCTCAAGGAACACAGAGCCCAGCAGAGATAAAATACAAACATCTACAGTACAATGTGACAGGTGAAACAACAGCGGGACACACCTAGCTAACCAGTATAGAGAAGGGATTGATTGCTGTATGTGTATGGGGCAGCAGCTGCACAGTGAAATAACTACAAATGCAATAACTTTAATCAATGAAATCTCATTTCACTTGAAAGATGTTGGAAATAGAGTTTCTAATGCATTATTTATATTCACTGCAAAACTCTTTCATTCAGAATTTTCCCTGTTGAAATTTTCAACAGATTCACTCTATACCAGCAAACATTTCCATTGGAGCACAAGTAATGAATACACGTGTGTGTGTGTGTGTGTGTGTGTGTGTGTGTGTTCTCCTTAATGTTTCCACACCTCCCAAAACACAACAAATACCGAAATACCATACAAAATATTTTCTTGTGTTAGCGAAGAAAAATACCTGTTAAAGAGTTTGGGTCTCCTACTGAGATACAAAACCAAAAATAGAGCCTGAAACTCCTCCAGGAGGTGAACATGCAAGGAAGGAGTTTCCTTTTTTGCCAAAGATGTTTTTATTTTAGAATTTAAAAATATTTTTAAAGTGGGAGCCTCCTCTGAAAGACTTATTTTAAGGTCTAGAATATAAACATATAGAATTCCCGAATTAACTCTACCTTTACACCTTGTTTCTATTTTCCTGCTAATGGGGAATTACTACCAAACACAGCCTACACTGGAGAGAATTACTCTATTTTAAAAATTCTTTAGCTCTGTTTATACTTTCTTTAGTTCTAAATACAAAAGTTTGTTTCTTCATAACCCAGTTATGCAGGCTTATTTTACACAACCTCAATATAGTCTATGTGGAAAATAATAAAAGAACCATAAACATAAAAAAAGTATGCAAAGATTTTGACATACACAACATCCAAAATAAAACAAACAAACACAGAGACTCACCTACTGGTATTGAAAGACTAAATGAAGATATTCTGTTCACCAAAAGTCTCTATCGTTTAGCTGTTACTATTTGGAGTAGAGGCTTGGCGTCCCCCTAAATTTAGCTCTGGTGCTACATTATAATCTGCTCCAGTGAGGGTCAGCCTTTATAAGGCACTCACTGAAGCTCTGACTGAAGAAGAGCAAGGGCACTTTGACTAAGAAACTGTGCTGGCTTAAACCTGGGAAAGTAACAAAGGAAGATGACTAACAAAGGCAGTTCTCTTAGGCCAAGGTCAAAAGCTTTTTTTTTTTTTTTGCTGTACGCGGGCCTCTCACTGTTGTGGCCTCTCCCGTTGCGGAGCACAGGCTTCGGACGCGCAGGCTCAGCGGCCATGGCTCACGGGCCCAGCTGCTCCGTGGCATGTGGGATCTTCCCAGACTGGGGCACGAACCCGTGTCCCCTGCATCGGCAGGCGGATTCTCAACCACTGCGCCACCAGGTAAGCCCAAAAGCTCACTTTTATTAGACTGCATTACAACTTACAAGTTGAAATCAACTAAAATCATGATGATTTCACTTCCATAAAAACTATAACCCAAACACTCACATAGAAAATAAGCTCATGGGACTTCCCTGGTGGTGCAGTGGTTAAGAATCTGCCTGCCAACGCAGGGGACACGGGTTCAAGCCCTGGTCCGGGAAGACCTCACATGCCGCGGAGCAATTAAGGCCGTCCGCCACAACTGCTGAGCCTGCGCTCTAGAGCCCACAAGCCACAACTACTGAGCCCACGTGCCACAACTACTGAAGCCCGCATGCCTAGGGCCTGTGCTCTGCAACAAGAGAAGCCACCGCGATGAGAAGCCTGTGCACCCCAACGAAGAGTAGCCCCCGTTCGCTGCAACTAGAGAAAGCCCATGCACGAAGACCCAACACAGTCAAAAATTTAAAAATAAATAATAAAAATAAATTATTAAAAAAATAAAAAGAAAAGAAGCTTATGTCCCACCAAAATGGAAAAGCTCCACGGTTTAAAACAGAATTTTAAAACACTGTATGTAAAGTGGTAAAACAAAATGGATTTAAGTATTTCACATGTCATCTAAGAGACTAAATTTCTTGGATAGTTTAGAAGTTAAAAGAAGGCCATAAAAATACTAAAGCGATACAATCAACCAAACAATAGAAAGCAGGTACTTTATTAATGAAGTAAACATTTTTGAATCAATTTCTATTTAAGTCTAAATGGAAAAGTTTAATTGAAAGATTTTTCAATCTAACATATTAGATAAATATTGCCCCACCTCACTTTATTTATCTTCTAACTGCCCTCATGCTCTTTTCATATGCCACCCCTTACTCCCAACCAGACTCTGGGTCCAAGTGTGACAATGGGCCAGCAGCATTGAAGGGTCTCATGGCTACTGTGTATTAATTCTGCCACTTGCCCTGCCCACCCTGAGTAGATTGACACCTTGCATGTTGTCTTCCCTCGTATTCTTCCTTAATTCTCTCCATTCTGGAAAGTGTCTGACCTATCACAGAAGGCCGTACCTTCTAGTTGTCCCTACTAGTGGATGCCTGTTCTCAACTAGTAATCAAGAGATTTGGCCTGATACTCTATTCTTGCCTGTTCTGGTCTGGCTCATCTTTGAAGTATGATAATCTGCCTTACGTAAGGCATTTAATATTACTAATATATGCTACACATAAAATAACTATGCTATTCAAACAACCTTGACATTATAAATATGGATACTCTAAAGTGGAGTCTATCTTATTTTATAAAGGGATAGAAAGAAAATATTTTAGGCTCTGTGAGCTACATGGTCTCTGTTCCAACTACTCAGTTCTGCTGTTATAGCCTGAAAGCAGCCATAGGCAATATATAAATAGGTGGTCATGGCTGTATTCCAGTCAAACTTTATTTACAAAACAAACAGTGGGTCAGAATGGGCTCCCAGGTTGCAGTTTGCCAACACCCATCCTGGAGAGGTGTACCCAACAGAACTATCTGTGACCGTGAAAATGTTCTATACCTGCACTGTCTAATATGGTAGCCACATGTGGCTATTGGACCCTTGAAGTGCGGCTAGTGTGACTGAGGAACTAAATGTTTAATTTTATTTAATTTTCATTAATTAAAATTAAAATTGAAATAGCCAACGTGTCTAGTGGCTATCATGTCAGGCAACCCAGTTCTAAAGCATTCCCTACAGCCCAACACACAAACTAGATAAAAAGGTGAAAACACACTCAAAGGATAGGAATTTTTTAATTCATATTTTTCAAATAAAGTAGCTCTGCAGAACATTTT